TTGATAGATTATTTTTAAATCGAATGAAAAATGTTATTTCAACAATCAATTAAGCTAGTAAAGTTAAAAAGTTTTAAAAAAATTAAACTTTTCAACTAGTTATGCCCCTCACCTTTGGTGTTATTTATAGGTAAAGCTGCGGTTTTCCGGTCTTACAAGACGACATGCACGATCGCAGGTCGCCCGCGTGCTTCGAATTCTTGTAATATTTTCGTCGTCAAGTTCTCAATGGTCTCAGTTTTTAATTCGATAAACAATAACAGTTAAATTTTACGTTCGACATAGTACGTTGTTCGCTGATACACACGACAGTATAGTGTGCGAAACTAATAAAATGCACCGTGCCCAACAACAACAGCACACGAGTAGGTATTAAACGACGACGATAGCAGTTTTCAACTAAAAAAAAACTACGAATCATATATTATCGCAGTTGAAAACGTTCTCGTGCCGTATTTACGATCATAGAATTTTTCGATCTGTATAACAATATCCTCTTCCGTTTAGAAACGGTGGAAATCACGAGTGACGAGTCTTGAAAATTTTCGATTTTATAGATAAAATTTAGAAGTTTTTGTACACACACACACACATAAACCAAATCAAATTTATTCATACGCATTTAATGTCACTTAAAAGTAATAAAATAAATCTTCAAACTTTTATACTTTTACGACCATTATTATTTTAGTTTTAAACGAGAACACTGAAAAATATGATTGCGCGATATTTATGCTCGAGTCGTAATAATATATTTCTTTTATTTTTTATTTTGATAAAACGGAATATTACAAATTTTAAAAACCAATGTTTAACCGCAAATAATTTCTGATTAATTGAAGATAATAAACACTAACAAAATTAAGAGGAGCAAAACTTTTTAAGCGTTTATTATAAAACAAAACAAATCGTGGCATACGTATTATTTATTATCGTTTCGTAAACCAATCCTTTAACGGTAAATACAGAATTGATTCCTGGGCCGAAATAAAGCGGTTCGAATTAGTTCCCGATAAAAATTACTTATCATCATACATATTCTGTTCAAATTGGTTAATCCACGATTAGGTAATATTGTTAAGATCGGATGACTGATTTTTCACTAAAAAATATGAGCAAAAAAAATATTCAACATATAATATTGACAATGTTCATATCTACTTTTGACCAAACTTCATATTGTTTCCAATCGTTAGAAGTGAATAACTTAATTCATAATTTTATTCTACCCGCTCAAATATTTTTTTACTAATTGAAAAAGCACCCAACCAGTATAATATTGTAAAAGGTGAACTGCATATATTTTTTTTTATTTATTATTTGTATTATCTTCAACTTATTTGACATTTGATTATACTATTATTATATACCTATTTAATTATTTAATAACTTATTCCTTATAATTGCGTATATTGTATAGATAGATTAGCAACAAAAACATGTGATACTGCTGTCGGTTTAATGAGCATTTTTTTTTCTACAATGGGTGGTAAATTTAATATTTAGATAGTTTTAAAATTAAAATTAAAGTTCGTAGGACCCAATTCGTAGGCATCCTTGATCGCATGTAATATCGCATGTTCGAATGAAAAAACAAACATAAAATCTGATTTCATCATAAATACTGACGTTGCAAAGAATCTTTTTTGAATAGACAATATTGGCAATGTAAATGCCGGAAATGTACGTGTATTAACACTCGTGAAAGAGTCACAACAATATATTATACTCGTTTAACGGTTAACACAAACATGCAAATACAGTTGACGGGAAAATAATGGGCACGTGGGTACACATTCCAAAATGGTACAGCGAATAATTCGTAACGTCTTTATACACGGAGTTTGTGTTCAACTCGCTCTCGCAGTTTAAGTATGAAGTCAATTAAAAAAGCAGCAAAATGGACAACAAAGTTTTATCATCAAAACATTTTTAACATGCCCGAGATAAATTGCTGCTTGAAAAATAAGTATTAGATAATATGAGTGCAAACTTACGATATAAATTAGAACTATTTCATACTAACCATATCTAATATACAATTACTAAACTCTAAGACGCCTAAGTATTTAGACTTTGTCGGTGACTTAATATTAATTAATTGCCAACCATAACACTGGATTTATAAATTTTACGACAACATTATTTTAAGTTTAACAGTTTATTTATTTGGACAAAATATGATAACAATTTTTTTTCAATCGTAACATAATAATTATTTAAAATACCTAACCTAACCTATACGAAACGTCTCGTAGGTACATATGAAAATGTCCATGATTGTTTAAGATGTTCAAAATAACTATAATTTAAGAATTCATTTATCTATTTATTGAGTTAATCGCTGTATCGGTTTAAAAAAATACTAAATATAGTAAATAATGAAATATTAGAGCAAACGGTACTTTTCAATTATTTCACTATTTTTGTATCGTAAAATATTTTAAGTTATTTTTTAAGTTTAGATGAATGTAATTAAATTAAATATATTAATTTATTGCAATCTCAAGTAATAAATCAAAACAACTTTTTTTGGCAACAATTGTATTTTAAATACTTTTTTTCATTTTATTTAAAGATTATTTTCTGAAAGTTTTCTTATACAATTCATTGCCAACATAATTCAATTTTCCAAACATACTTTTTCCTTCAAGGAAAAAAAAACAAAGGAAATCGATAAAATATATAGCTAAATAGTTTTAGTGTTTGCACTTTGTAGTATATAATTAAAACAACAAGATTTGATTACTCAGAGAACAAGTTCATATTCAAGCGCCCATCAATATAAATTCTTAACTTAAAAAACAGAAATATCATAACAGGGATCGCAATATAATTACATAAAAAAAATGATGGAATTATTGTCACTTCCAGAATGAGCGATTAAAATGTTCCAAAAATGTGTAGCAAAATGTAAGTATGTATTGCAAAAAATCCCCCAGAGAAATATATTATTTTATTATGATATATATCACTTCAAAAGTCTTTGTCAGTCAATGTGTTGTTATTTTTTTTCCATGGTTAAAATGATCAACAACAACAACATTATATTAAATCTTAATTTGAAAAAATGATAGCACAGTGGTAAATTAAATTTTCGACATCACTAGCTACCACCACCGCAACCGCTGCCTCCAACAGTCTAACAATACCACCACCGACATCGGCACCACCACCACCACCACCAACAACAACGTATAATAACAAAAGTTTTAACCCTTGAAAGTGTAATCCACTAAATTCCGTACATAAATTTAAATATTTTTAACGTGCGCACATATTATAGGTTACACCGAAACTTACAAACCACTTCTGTAACCTTTGTATATTATACTAATGCATATAGCAGGATTATAACTTTTTATAAGAGGTAGGTATCTCATGCACGCGATTACATGCACCGACACAATACATGCGTATACATTTTACTTTTATTGTAATTTGGTAGCGAAACAATAGCGGAGTGTATACATACAAAACAAAAAAAAGTTTTATTTTTTATTTTATTTTTATTGCTGTTAAGCTCACGACGACTTTTGCGTATTACACACTGTTTATTATATTAGGTTCGGGTCGGTGCAGAGAATAATCGGTCGAAATAAATTGAAAGTACGTGATAAAACGGCTAGTCGTGTTAAGCTTATTATATCGTGTATACATTATGCGGTACACACTGTACAAAAATCACAATAATAATTATACCGATATGTTTTTTCTCTAACCGTGCAACGGAAAAAAATGTACACGAGAAAATTATCGCAATTAAATATAAAAATAAAAGAAAGAAAGTAGCAAGCGCGCGATTATTACCCCCGCCGCGCCGGTGGCTCTTATAATTAGGCGTTAGCATGTATACGTATTATAATAGTATAGTTCACCTGGCACAATGTACCTTTATTTTTCGTGACCTTGAATTTCATCATAATTACACACGCACACACATACAATATCACGAAAAAACGAGTTGAACTAGGACATTGACGAACGTGTCTCGCGTATTGGTAACTTTAAGACGATCGGTCGCCCCAGAAATCGCGTTCAAAACATTTCCGACAGTCAATTAATGACAGTAATAATTATTCTTTTGCAGTGTATAGCGGTAATTATTATAATCGTTCCATATTACACACAAGAGATCAGTCATCAATCGAAATGAAAAATAAATACAAGCCAGTCAATTTCGACATATCATCTGCATGTCAATCGCATGCAAAGACAAGGTAGGTGAATATACAGATAACAATATTATATAAGATTGGAACATACTTTCAGATTGTCAGTTTACTTATTGCAACTATTAAGTATACAGGGTGGTTCTTTTTTTTCGAAGAAACACACATTGTTTCATAAACTTATAACCTTTTTAAAATATTATTTTTACATAATAATAATTTAGGACTTAGTTTAAGCCCTTTAATATTTATAACTTATTAACTACTCGCCCGAAATTTTCTTCGAAATATAAAATGAAGAGTTGGTATATGTTGACAATCAAAAAAAATGAAAACTTAAAAATGATATTAATGAAAATTAATAATTTTGATATCTAAAATGTTGTAAAAAAAAAACTTTTTTAGTTCCTAAAACAATGAGTGTTTGTCGATAAAAGAATCACCTCATATGTTATAATATACATCCAATACGCATCTCGTGTATACTATTTTATTTACACGCCGAAGGTATAATAGTTTCCATCGCGGACGTTTAATATTATACATTTACAGCAGCGCTTGTTGTCCGTCGCCGTGAATCTGTCGTATCGGGGCATAAGTGGTTCAGTAATTATTTCCACTCGTCCGGCCAAAAGCTTTGGTGAGGCCCGGTCCCACCCATGCCAACCCTTCTTATTATTGCCCGCCACAATATAATATATTAAATGTGCATACGCGATAGACCCTCGTTATCATAACTGCGTCTGTATCGCCATATTATAACTATTATTATTATTATTATTATTATTATTATTATTATTATTATCATACGCGGTATCGCGTTCCTACCTGTGTCTCCGTTGTAATTAATATCGTCGCCGTCCTCCCTCCGCCACATCACATACGGCTCTGGGTATCCGGCAGCTTTGCATATTAAAGTAGCATTACTCGCTTCGCGCACCACCATGTCTGTGCTCGTCTCCTTATCTATGATGCTCGGGGGTACTTGAAATCAAAGAATAAAAAAAAAATCAAACATATTTTTCAAATTATTTGTTATAATATGTGTCGCATTTTGATTCAATTTCGATGGTTGGTATTATCCTAGTTTTTGCACTGAAATGCTTTTACGCTTTTCACGAATACATAATAATAACAATATGACAATATAACAATTTTAAACCATAATAATTTAATATAGTTCATTAATAGTATAACATAATATTAACATCGACAATAGTCAAATGTGTGTAATATATACTTACTATAATAACATATCAGGTGTTTTACAAGTGACAGTAATCAGTTTTAAGTATCTATATATTCTATAATATGATGGCTTAGGTGTAAAATTACTCATTAATAATTATTTATCAATTAGTTTTCTTCAGTTGCAGTAAAAAAACAAGGTACCCACTATTCATAGAATATAAAAATCTATTTGGTATCATACACGGGATAATTAATCATACCTATTATTGATATTGACATACATAATAATATTATGTATTATATGTAACATTTCGTGACCTATATTTTGTATTTCCTAACCTTTGAAGAGGATAAATGATGATTTAATGCTACTGTGGCCAACCACTGCAGCAGTCATCGAAGACGTTCAACTTAACTTTGATTTACACTCAAAATAACAAATAAATTAGTGAAACAATCCGACTGCACTCAGTCTACAACGTAAATAACATTCATTTATGTAAATATATAAGATGAAAAACTTTACATTTAATTATAATCACATACATTCGGTCATTGCACTTTTAATTCATACCAAAATTAAAGATTTCATCGTTCGTCCGAATTAATGGGAGAAAAGCGAAAGCATTTATCATTTTTGGTTGGCTACTATAATCCATTCGGAATTCACCCCCCAAATGTTATGATTGCAAAAAAAAAATAACCTGAACGTATTCTAATTACCAAGTCTGAAATTAAACCCCACTCTTCCAGTTCTTTAGTATTACAGTTTTATGTTGGGTGACATTGATTTATCTCTTAAATACATTTTATGATTTTATTGTTAAAATATTATTACTACTACGTTATAATTATTATTTTACGTTCTTTGGTTCACTTTCAAACTTAATTGTAATTTCTATGGTGAATTTTTTACCACTGACTAATATAGTAACATAGGTCATAACATAATAATATATAATTATACTTAATCTGGTATTCTTTTAATTTTATTAAATATCTCAAAAATGTATTATAAATAATCCTCATTCCTTAATTACATAATATACGGGGTGTCACAATTAACGTAAAAATACTGATTATTTCGTAGGACACTACCGTTTATGAGAATTTTTATTTCACTTAATTATAAGTCGGTACAAAACAACATTATGTACTACCTATTTCTAAGTTTTTACTTTTTTAAATGACAACGTATTTTTTAATTGCATACTACCAAACAGAATATCATTTGAAATGTTTTTATCTCTAAATATCAAATGTCGGACAAATAGTTTATTAGTTATAAGTATATAAGTATTTATATTTAATGAGAGCAGGACCAACATTCTGCGGAGTAGGTACTCCTATATACTACTTCACTTCATTCATAGAAACATTAAATACCACCTACTTCTAACCTGTAAACTACTCGTCTAAATTTGATTCTTAAGTATCGATGTATCCTAAAAAATATTCTGCTCTGTGATAAGGAATTCAAAATTCATGTCATTAAAAAAAAAATTTTAACTTATAAATAATAACGATAAAAAATAATAAACTATATAATTTGTAATTGTTGTTTATCAACAACTTAAAATAATGTAAACAAATATTTTCAAAAATTTTAATACCTGTATTTATAATGAGCGTCTTGAGTCAAATGTGTCGACTAGCATATTATATACTAGGCATTACCTATAATATGTGTAACACAATTTCCAGAAAAATAATGCAGACTAAAAATTAAATTTACTTACGTAGTTTTTACTTGGAAAATCTAATATTATAATATTAATGAAGGATTAACAAGGGTATTATTAAAGTTATATAAAACATAAATTATGAAAACATTTTCTTGACGTTGAATATTCATAATAACTACCCCGTGTTTCATTTTCATACATGTGTATTTTAAACCCACTGCCATTGGGTACATATAGAACACCCAAAGTGATTCACCATCACCAAGCATGCGCACCCACCCCCATCCCAATTTTTTTTTCTTAAATAATACGTATTCTACTCAAATTATGATTTTTAAGTATACTTAAGAACCATATTTTCTAGTATTAAGATTAACCATTTAAGGAGTTTTCATTGGTGTTACAAACTATATTTTTTTCAAACAAGAAACTTAAATGATATAAAAATCTAAGAATTAAAAAATATGATACCTATGTGTAATTAAAAATATCAAAAATTAAAATGTGAATAAATAAATTATTAATATAAAAAATAAGGATAAGCGTGTTTGTCAAATCACCCTGCAGTTTAGAATAAAGCGCTACAATATTAAGATGGTATCACGATAGTTAGTTTTATATTATATTTTGGACTAACTGTCTAATATTTTGATACTATTTCGTACTTGGCAAATTTTCCAAAGTTTACAAACTCAATTAATTTGAGTGAATTTTATACTTTCGAATTAAAACATTAAATAAAACAAATAACATTAATTACCAGCGAAAGTTGAAAAATGTTTTACTTCGTCACTTTCGGTTTACGTACAATAAAATGAAACCCAGCTATAGAATCGAAACACAATACATGAACGAATGAAGTTAAAAATAATTCGTATACTTACCGACCACTTGCAAGTACCCTTGTCGACTTCTCATCGGGTCCGTGTTCACTTGACACATGTACCATCCCCGATCTTCTTCGTGCACGTCTCTAATATGCAAATACCACGATCGGTGATCGTTGTAGGAAAGCGTTACCCTTGGATTTTGGGTAATAACGTTGTGGTGAATTGACAAAATCGTCTGAGTATCTACCCTGACCCAGGCGACCTACGAGAAAATAAAAAAAAGACTGGATTGAAGATAAAATGTTTAGAATTTTCAATAGAGTACAATTCGAGAGTATTATAGTACTGCACGTAAATATTATAAATTCAAGTATGTTCCAATCCCCGAGATCGCAATGATTATTGAACCATATCGTAACTTTCAATAGTATAATATAAGAAAATATACAAAAGATGCACTAATAATGCCTCATGTATACGATCATAAAATAAAATAATAATATGATAGGGAGGTATCTATGATATAAGTATACTTATTGTTTATTATCTATCATTTACCAATTTACCATAGTTATTATTATTGTTTGTTTTTAAAAAGTTCAATTTTTTTAATTTTTAATTTTGTTTACAATATTTTAAATAAGCACAAATTATTATTATTCAGCTCTCTGAATAGTTTTCAGATAGTTTCTCTCCTTAAATGTTCACTACGGTACAGTAATGTCTGTAGGTACAAAAAGAATATACGGATATTGTATATGTATGATATGGGCACTAAACTAGTTTCGATCACCTGGTTGACTGGGTAAAAGTCTGCAGTGTGTCATCATACTTTCATTCAAGGCTGAGCTAACTAACAATTTTTCTTAATACGTTGAGTTAAGCTAATATAGAAAAATGTAAGATAATTTTAAAGTTAAAAGTTACTTTTATTTTAATTTAAACTTGTAAAAGTTACAAGTTAACTAGAAAATAAAAGTGACTTCACTTAGTTAAAAATCAGTTACATTTTTTCATAATATAAAATTAAAAATTAAATTTTTTTTAAAAGCTAACAAATAACATAGTAATTTAATAAATGACTTGCAGTTTTAAATAAATGTATGTATAAAAATTAAAATTAAATGCTACACTATCAGAATTCTGTCTATAATATATAAAATATATTCTGCGAATACGCAGTATTATACCATTATTATAAATTATTATTTTTTTTTTTTTAATTAATTTTTACAAAATGGAATATATTTTAAATCTGTGATGTTAGGAAAAAAATAACTTACTAACGTGACAATTAAATTAATTAACTTATAAGTTAATTTATAATATGGAAATAAATTGAGCTTGTGAAGTTAGAAGTTACTTCCAAAAAAAGTAACTCATCGTATGCACCTTAGTTAAAAGTAACTAATCTTTAACTGTTGAACTTGTAAATTCCAACCCTTATATTTAAAAACAATATAAAAATGTTTACATTCAAAAATCAATTCCTATATTGAATCTCGGTATTCTATAGCGCTATAATATGTAAGATATTTTCAATTCAGCTATTCAACTAATTATTAGATAATATTTTAAAGATTTTGTTATACAGATTGAACATAATAGAGAGCAAATATATTTTTTTAAATACAAACTTCTAAAAACTATTAAAATGTAATAAAATACATAATTGATGAAAACAACAAGGGTCATTGAGAAGTTTTACAAATATCGTCTATAATACTGGTCGTTTGCTCTCAAGTCCTCCGTATAAAGGGGCAGGTTTTTGGTATTTTGTTTTTGAAACTTTTTGGAAAACTGCAGTAGGAATTCCAAAAAAGACTTCTATGAAGTACCATCAATTTAAGTAATATGTCCTATCGCACACTCATATACACAGTTTGTAATGTTTATATATTAAATGTTTGGACCACTTCTTTTATCCAAACAAATAGCCGTAATAAAAACGAAAAAAAAAATGTCGCTGTAAAAATAATACGAACAAAAAAGATCTACTTTTAGATCTATAGTATCATTTATACATACTATATAAATAAGATTTATTTTATCAAGTTTTTGTATGCCAAAAAATTAACGCCGTCATAGGAAGTCAAAATTATATTTGATTTGATAAGAATATTTGAATCTATCCTACTCCCAGGGTTATGATTAGAACCATAGATCCGCTATCGTATACGGCTCGTTATTTGCATGTCATTCATGTTATTCAAGCACTACAGCCTGCAGTTACATATTGTAACGTTCACTGATAGAGCGATTATTACGAATTAATGTAATATTATGTTGTTGTGCTCTTAGATCGTCGAGACCTAACTGCACTGCAACCGCACTAAACACCGCACGTGAATGGGCAACCAACTGCGTTTCGGATTATCGTTATAATGACCGTGGTATAATATTATATAGGTACAACGGATTTATGGTAGCTTGATTGGCCAGTTAGCCACACCCAGATGTTCCTATATAATAATAATAATAATGAATATGTATTATAGCCAACTGTTGTTGATTAGACACGTTCGTGATTGACCACAGCGTCTCTATTGTAAAGTTACTGTAAGCCTTTGAACGTTGAAACGTAGGTACATAATATTCAATTAGACTTAACACGATGTTTACGACGAGAAATCACAGGGCAACAATCACTATATTATACTGTAAAATATATTGCATAATTATGGGGGTCGTATTCACAAACTACTAATGAATGTTATATATTATTTTAAATTCCATAGTTGTAATCTATAGTAGGTTTCAAAGTACGATTAAAACAAAAAAGAAGATAAAAATTGTGACTTTTGTCTCTTAGTGTGTATAGTTTTGTATTGAATGTGTATAATATTATGTATGGGGAATTTCTTCATTATATAATTAAAAACTGTTATTGATATACAGAATATTGGGTTCAAATAGTCAAAAATGTATTATAGATACTTACATATTTTATGATATTTTATTGAAGAGCCTATATTAAGGTTTATATTTTAAGTAATGTCTTATTTTATATTTAGTAACAAAATGTTTTTAATTAAAGTCAGTGATTTTTCGAATTAATAGACAAAAAATATTTGAAATGTATATATTGAAGTAAAAAGTACGCTAGTGCAATAATTAAATACCGCGTAGTATAACTAGTATATAATAACACATTATGGTTACTAAAAATAAAAATATCCATTGATGAAATGTAAATGTTTATTATGTTTTTGTCAAGCTAGAAAGTTGTACCATACCGAGGTAAGTACTATAGATAAGATAGGGTAACATACAATTGAATTGATTTTTATTTTATTATTTTCTAAAGTATTTACAGAAAGCGAGGCAATAGTTTTTTGTAACTTAATTGGTTTATGAAATAAAATTAAACGATTATCATAATCCACAGCGAATAGATTTTTTTGGATTTAAAACATGGATCATCTACATTTTAAAATGATAAAACTAATCTTTACGTAAAATGCGTAGATTTCTTTTGCCTTCTTTAAAATCATATATTTAAACTTTACTGCTATAATATTACCTAAGTAGAAGTATAATAATTTAATAAATTAAAATAATTAAATGTACTCGACCTTTCAAAAATAGTATGAATGGTAGAAAAATGATTTAAGTTTATTCATTCAATTTGTAATACGTTTAGACAACAATACTTCCTTTCATATAATAAATATTTATTTATGAAATTAATAAAATAATATATGATATTTATAAAAATGTCTGCTTTTATTAATTAGTTATCAGTAAAATACTACATTTTCATTATTTAACTTTTTTTCCCCCGTTTAAAAGCCATTTTCCGGAAAATTATAGCGAATAGATGAAATTATTTCAGACTTTTATTTTAAAACCCAATTAAAAGTTTTCCTTTGTTGACCGAGGTTATTTAATGGGCTGAAGCCACCTGTTTTGGGGTTATTTAAGTGGCCGTAATGTACCGTTAGTAAGAATTATATTATTTGTTATTTAGAAGAGAGAAACATGTTGGTGAATTCTACTATCGTAGCCCGGGACAAAAGACCACCCTGGAGAATATTATTATCTCTTAAATTAACTGCGTATTAGCAAAACCGCCACCATGGGTAATGTTTTTGTTTTCTCACCTTGAATCCACGTAGGTTGTCCACCACACATGCCAGTAGTGCGTCTCTGCCAATGCTGACAGTGACGTTTGGTATGGGTTCGGCAAATCTTGGCATTGACGTTTCTGAAAAAAATAAATAAAAAACAACATTATTGGTTATCCTATAATCTCGTGAATCGCCATGGTGGTGTACACATTTTTTTTATTTTATATTGATAAACGTCATAACTGCTTGGCGGTTGATTTTTTCACAAAGCATTTATTAAAACTTCATTATATTGTTATAGAAAGAAAACAACGGGTGCAATTATAAGACTAATTACTATTTTACTTATATTATGTACCTAATAGGACGATTGAAGTCGAACAAGGATTAAAAAAGTTGTATTTCGAGTGAATTGTTTATCTGAGACAAGAAATCGAGTAAAATACAATCGTGTAGGTGAGAGAACAACGACTAAAAAATAATATAAATTCAAGTACTATAAATTAAATTACCTACCTAATCAAATATTTAAGTCTTTATGACTTTGAAAAAACGTTCATCAATGTGCTTTATTGCCAGATCAAATAAAGTAAAACTAGCCTCTGTTAAAAGAAATATTTTTAATTAATAATATTTTTTTTTTCGACAATTATTGTCCAATTTATAATATTTATTAGATTGTGGGTGGAGAAATAATGTATTGGTTTACTATACATATATTGTGTGTGTTTTTTTTTTGTCTATCGTCACCTTTAGCCTTTAGGATCAGTAAAACTTCAACTTTGAGGGGGTTGTATATAAGAAATTGGATCTAGATGAAAATCTGTGAGGTCAAAAGTAAAAATGCCCAATACTATTAAAAAAATTGAGAGAACTATAAAAAAACAAGGAAAACAAAAATATTTAATGTATGCTTTAATAGGAATATTTACCTCAATGTTTAACAGTATCAATTTTGTTTTTTTTTTTTGTTATAATTTTTCAGTTATTTTTGATATTTTAGCTTTTTTGTGCTATTTATAAAGATTAAAATTGCTCTTAAATATTGGGAAATACAATAGTATATAGGTATATAGAGAGAACCTACCAACTACCGTATTGACAATTTTTACAAATAAATTACTAACTAATAGACAACAATGATATAATTAAATTGTATAATATCCTAATTATATTATAGAAATGTAGGCTGGCACACCAAAAATAGCGTGTCAACTCGGAATCTGTTTTGGTATGCCATGAGTTATCACTAAATTTATTAAACATCCATAGACATTACAGCGCAATTTTCAATGAAAAAATATACTTCGAAAGATCTACTTCCACGAGCTTATTTATTTTAAACATCACATTTCTAATGGATAGTTTGTTAGGTATAATACCATTTTTGAAAAGTATTATTCCGTATATAACTTTGGTCTTAAATTTTGCATTATTACTTCACTGAAATGGGTTTTTTTAATTTTAAAGCATATTTCATGGTTATGTTTTCATGATTTTTTGGGCATACTTATAAGATGTTATACGTAATTACCGACGTTTATTCGACAGGGTTTCCGTTTTAAGCTGCGGTGGTGGATAAAAGTTTCTCGAGATCTTGTGACGATTTACAAGCTTATACACGCGTGTGTGTGTGTGTGTGTGTGTGTGTGTGTGTGTGTTTGTCTGTATACATATAATATATGGACTTGTGATGCGGTTTATTGGAAACGCGAGAAATCGTGGGTGTATACGCTCGACGGAAGTTGTGTAACGACAACGTTAAAACTTTAGGCTGAGTATACCAGCACGCCAGGAAAAGTTAGTGATAATATACGGAAGAGGGGTGGCGATTGAGGTTTGGTGTGGGTCCCGGGGTGGAAGGGGTAGTGGTGTATTGGAGGGGGGAGGTGCGAAATCATTTTGTGGCGCGAAACAATATTCACCATGACGTGTATGTGTGTGTGCGGACTGTAGATGTATATGTATAATTTATATATATTGTATATAGTGTCGAGTGAGTCATTAAACCGTGGTCATTATATATTAAATTTATATATATGTATAAATGCATAGTTTAGATAAAATTGCCAAGTGTTCCAGACACATCACGTACGTTGGAAACGATGGTCGGGAGAGGGTCTGCAAGAGTCCTGCAAATTGAGTGACCCATTTTATTGTTTTAAATTAAACACATTTTTTCCCTCTCTTGTATATCGCCCCCATTCCACCCTCGTATTGCAGCCGCCGTTACATTATCACAATATATTATTGTACAGAATTTTTTATGTGCGATATAAATTTGTCGTCATCAACGTTATAATAAAAATATACCATACCAAATCGTACATGTATATAAAAACAACATAATATACTGTATGGGCGGCTAGAATAACGTTTAAAAAATAAATAAATTTACAACGCATCGACTGAACTCTTTTATTTGCGTTTATGTTACTACTAATAATTATGACAAAGCGACGAAATGCGCTCTTTTAAGTGCAGTGTATGTATATAATATTTATTAATTTAAAGCATGGTATTTCATGTTGGCACTTATATATTATAAGCAGTCTTGACTTTATTTCCAACTATAATATACATATATGTTTTTAAAATAACAAACTGTAATATTGTGAAAAAAATAATTTGTCTAGAAGACTTAAGAGAACATCTCACGTCTTAATAGAATAATGCAATGTTATCTCTGTCTTTATCATGCTCGCCAAATACCAAATTACATTTTTGTAAGACCAACACTGAGGCTTGCATTAATATATATTATATGTATAATATAATACATGTATACATAATATTATATTGAATACTGTAAATATATTAGGTAAGCATCTTAACACAATTAATCTTTAAAAAAAACTCAACGCTACATTTCAATAGACAATATTTTCGCCTTTCAAATTCATACAATGGGTCAAAATATTAGCTTGATTATATTATATTGACATACATCCTACATAGTACGTACAATGTACATACTATGTATTGACTCTCCGAAAAGTAAATAGTCTATTTTGCGGGAATGACAATAGACAGAGATAAGAAAACTCAATAAAAAAATAATACATTTTGCTTCTATAATATAGTTACATAAAATTCAAAAATATTATCTTGAATTAATGATTATAAAATAATTTCCAAATACATCTTCAACAAACATGATTTACTTTGCACGAAATAAATACTACACAATATACATTTACATATACAGTAAATTTAACTATCAAAATTAACTAAAAAAATACAATAAAGTACATACATATATATATATATATAACATATTAATTGTAATTGTAATAATTCAGTTAATAAACTCTTCAAACCGTTATAAAAGTGTAATCTTACAATACAAACTATATACCAACATTTTATTCTACTAGGTAGATAATGTGTAATTGGTATAAATATATAAACTAATATTTGAATAATATATACTGTAGAACAAATAAAAAACCTAACAACCTATATGCCGCTTTCATAATAGAGAAAAATAATAAGATATTATTTAAAGTGATAAAATAATTCAAATCGTACTAGGAATATTAAATCATTTTTAAAATAAATAACCATTAAATGGGAAAATATACGAAAAGATGGCAAAAAAAAGAGCAAGAAAAAAAGTACTAACAATAAGAGGGTGTCGAAAATAAAAGCATTACTAGTGCCTTTTTTATGATTAATTTCTGGTGTAATTTATAGGCTTTATTTTCATAATATTTTTTCCTCCTCCCCCCTCCTTTTTTGTCTTTGCTTATCATTTCGTCCCTTCGTCCCCATTTCTTAACTTTTTTCATTAAATTTCTACTAGTAAATTCCATAAAATAAATCGCCACTGAAGCCATGAGTTGAAGTAAAATACGAACAGTTTAATCCATCATGGTGGGATTGAGACAGCAAAAAAAAATATATAATTTAACTATTAAGTCGGATTTAACTCTGCCATTATCGTTACTTACAACAATAATAATACTTGCACATGTTACAGATGCCGAATCTAGTATACCTAATTATGTGATGACATTAAACTACCTTAACATGTTTATGCACAGAAGCACTGCAGTACATACCACACATATTTTAATGTTTCATTATCTAAATAATTTTCTGGTTTGCTACTAATTTTTAAGTGTTAGTACCAACAATTCACTCTTATATCCACTTTGTTAATTGTGATTTTTATAATTCAGACATTTTTAAAATATTAACTTTCATAACAAAATTAAATATGTATTTCAGTATTTGTACCACTTCACTCAACATTAAATATGCAAACAAAGAAAACTGCAAGATTCAGAAAAGTTTTTTGTGCACTTTATAATATTCTTTCGTTCAATCTCTTTTTAAATATTAATGAATAGTTTTTAGCAATACATTAGCAATGAAAAAGTGGAAACAACATACCTATCTCTGATATGCGATTCACTGCAATATACATAAATATCAGCTCACATAAAGCAAATCTATAAATACGAAAATAATTTATGTGGACATTATCATATAAATGTTACGAACGATTATTGACCTAAGATATTTTAATATTATACCTACAAACATTTTCACCCGATTGAAAACTATGTTGACAATATTTCAGATAGCAAAATTGTTTCTATAACAGAATATTGTTGTGTAATCTAGTTATATATTTATAATTGGCGACCAATTTAAAAAACAAAACACAAACAATTTCCTCATATTCGTGTTTAATGAAAACATAATTATTTAAGAAGAATTTGTATACATTTTACATAAATAGTTGAGTACTTCTTACGACATATGTACGTCTTTTTACGATTAACATTTATGTATAGATAACACAATTTTCTTTTATTATTATTATTATTATTATTATTATTATTACAGCACCATCAAGTTTAATTCTAAACTATAATAAAATATTATATTAAAAATATTTTTAAATTACATTGTAGTTTTAGTGGTATGGTTAGTCATAAATTTTCGTGAATTCCTAAACAATAGCAGTGATTTAGTAATTTTTAATCCTATACCAATATAAAAAAAATTAACGACTTTTGATTCATGAATATTTAATGTAATTTAGTAAATTAGCTTTTATTAGTAAACGATAAACTTATACTTATATTCGTGGAAATATTTAAAGCTATATCAACGTGTAGATGTG